GTGTTTGCCTCAATCAGTGTTTCTTAAACTCAGATCTGTGAATCCACAAAGGCATCTTCCTAGGGTCTGAAAGTTCTCATCAAGAATTTTTTAAGTTGTGTTTTCATTTTTAATGATAATCTAGAAGAGATTAGCTAGATAATTTGAATAACCCCCTTATAACCAAGTACAGACTTGGGGTTTTAATACCCCTGTATGTGTTTAAGTTTATGATTGAACTGGCCCCAAGCAGGACTTCTTTAATTGTCAAGAGGCTAACAAGGAACGAACAGAGGCAGACTTAATACATAAATGATTCTTTCCTTCCTGCTGAGTGAGGGCTGAATGACAATTTGGCACACGGTGTGGATGAAGGTTCTGTGGTGACTGTGTCCTCGTACAGCAAGCAAGAGCACATGCATGCCAACTCAACAGTGCAAGCCATACACTGGTTTTAATAACAGCACATCATTGGGCACAGGAATGTTAATTTTCACATTATTGATTTTAGAGTTATGTGTGCCTTTTCCTTGTAGCTCTGTTTTAGTTTTACGGCTGTATATAAGTTAATATGGATAGAGTTTGAATTGGGTTGTAAAAAGAAGGAAATCTTACCTTTTATGACAGTATATATGGATCTAGAAGTTACTGTGCTAAGTGAAATAAGCCAGGGAGAGAAAGAGCAATACTATATGATCTCACTTTTATGTGGAATCTAATGAACAAAATAAACTGACAAACAAAAGGGAAACAGAAGCATAGAGACAGGGAACAGACAAACAGCTGTCAGAGGGAAGGGAGGAGGGGGACTGGGTGAAAGACAGTGAGGGGATTAGCTACAGAACGTGTATGTATAACTCATAGACACAGACAGCAGTGAGGTGATGGCCAGAGGGAAGAGGGAGCAGGGGCTGGGGGGAGGGGGTCAAAGGGGACAAAATTAGGGACATTTGTAATAGTCTCAGCAATAAAAGTTTTAAAAACATAAGAATAGAATAAAACTATTTAAGTCAGCACTAGGGAATCTACAAGAATTTTCTTCTTTAAAAGAGTTCCATATATTATTTTAAAAGTTGAGAGACACTGATATCATTGATTTGTTTTGTATACATGATGTGTTTTTTGTTCAAACAAGTTCTGTCCTTTAAACATCTAAACTGTGGCCCTGACTTGTGTGCCATTTGATCCACATGGCAAAAGGTCGCTGGTTTGATTCCCAGTCAGTGCACATGCCTGAGACAGAAATGATGAATGTTTCTTTCTTGTATTGATGTTTCTCTTCCTCTCTTTCTTCTCTTACCCCACCCCGCTCTCCCCTCAGGGTTCAGTCTCCAGCTGGGGTGTGTGCAGGAGGCAAATGATGAACGTTTCTCTCTCATGTTGATGTTTCCCTCCTTTTCTCATTCCCTTCTATTCTCTCTAAATAATAAATAAATAAAATCTTGTTTTAAAAAGTCCAAATTGCACAGGGGGCAAAGAGAGGAAAATGGGGGACATCTGTATTAGTGTCAACAACGACAACAACACCAAGTCCACATTGCTCTGGCTAGTAAAATTAAGTGAAATCAGCTCAAACAGTCATGTCACTAAGGCACGTGAAAGGGTCAAGGTGAAGTGGGGAAAGTTCAAAGGAAGAACATGCGCTGAGAGCTCACTTTAGGATGGCAAGACAGAGTCTTCCCACACAGAAAGGAACCAGAGGAAGGGAGGAAGGACACCCACTCTCTCACAACTTTGGTGTCATGAACACTGGATTAAAAATGCAAAGCACAAATGGGTTTTATATCTTCTTGGCTTGTAGTAGTTCAGAGAACACATGAAGTGACATGAACTAGAAATTAACTTTGTGCCAAACTCAATTTTATACATAGAACAGATCAAGGAGGATATATTATAATTTGTTTAAGGTAGTTTTTCTTTCCTTTTAATTTGTTTAGGTTTACTAAAATGAAAGTGTGTGTATATATTAGCTGCATTGTGTTTTACTTTTAAAAGAACAGTTTTCATTTACATGAAGCAGTTCTAAGTCAAAAACAGGGATTGGCATAGTGGCCCCTTTACCATTTCTCAGTGAAGTAGCTGAAGAAGGTCATACAATGGTCCCCTTTAGCTGAGGCTTATGCCCTCAATTAATTGTTTGTTCTTTTATAAATTATATGTTGAACACTTTTTTAAAATGTTTGTGAAACCAGATAAAGGCATGGAGAATTAGCAGTATTCATTCTCAAGAGAAAAACACAAGTTACCCATCCGCCCATTGTCATACACGTGCTTTGCAATGTCAGAAGCAGAATCATTAGGAAAAAACAGGAACTCCTTGTCTTGAAGAGAGAGCAAGTAGTTAGGATAAGGCGACATGATGAGGATTTAATAAAAGAGGGAAAGCTGTGACTTTTTCAGGGCACTTGACAGGTGTCCGTGCAGTGGCTTCAACTGTCCCAGTAGTTACCGCACTCTTCATGACCGTGCACTTGTAAACAAAAAACAAAAACAAAAAGCCATTTTAACTTAAAATGTCCTTCACGGGGCAGAAAAAATTAGTGTTATTACAGCCTAACTCTTCAGCACATCTTTTAAATATTTTCCCTAACAAAATATATTTCTGCATATTTGAGTACAATTGTTGTCCAGAAAATTACTCCTCTGATGAGTTGTGAGATGAATTACAATTTTCTTCATAGAAAGCCATTTTTATCAGAAAGACTGACAAACTAGGTCATTCTGAGTTGGGTGATTTTGGAGGCATTTTTCTAAAACATATGAAGTGAGCTTGTCACTGAGGGAAAATGACAGCAACTTGTTGCCCCTCATACAATATGAGCTTTCAAATGAGATTTACAACTTTGTTAAACTCTGCATCTCCCAATCTTAAAAATCTTCTCTGATAACCTCAGTGAAGTAATGAGTGTGATTTAAAAATATTGTTTAATGCAATGTGTCAATATATGCAATATCTGTAATTCAGAACATGGGCACTTTCCAAATACTGAGTGTTTGATTTACAATATGAACAAAAAGATTTTTTTCTAGGTGCAAGAAAGACTAAAAGACTTTAATGTAACAAAAGTATCAATAGTTCATGACATGGTTTCAGATTCCATATTGCAACTTTAAAGAAACTACCACGTAAGTTTTGGTGTAGTATAGAAAAAAATACCCACAATTAACTGAAGACTATTAAAATACTCCTTTTTACCCAACTGCATTGCTGAGTAAGGCTGGGTTTTCTTCATAGACCTCTACCAGTGCAACACATTGCAGCAGACTAGACACAGAAACAGGTGTGAGAATTTAGCCATCTTCTATTAAGCTGGATATTAAAGAGAATGGCAAAAGTGTGAAACAGTGCCTTTTTTCTTTTGAAAATAGTTATTTTTCAAAAAATTGTTTCATCTTAATATGCATTGGGTTTATTTTTATTTTAAAGTGAATCATTACATATTTTTAAAAGTTCTGTTTTAATTTCTTTTTTTTTAAGATTTTATTTATTTATTTTTAGAGAGGGAAGGGAGAGAGAAGGGGAGAAAGAGAGATCAATGTGCAGTTGCTGGGGGCCATGGCCCGAAACCCAGGCATGTGCCCTGACTGGGAATCAAACCTTCGATGCCTGGTTCGCAGCCCGCACTCAATCCACTGAGCTACGCCAGCCAGGGCTCAGTGTTAATTTCTAACATGACATCCTACGCAAAGAAAAGCTCTCTGAGGCCTTCAATCACTTTTAAGAGTGTAAGGAGTACTGAGACCAAAAAAATGGACAATTCTGCCACAAAGTAAATTTTATTATTTGCATTTGCTGGAAGTTCTGCGCTTTAAAAACAATTCTTCCTACTGCGGGCCCTGGCTGGGTAGCTCAGCTGGTTAGAGCATTGTCCCAATATGCCAAGGTTGCAGGTTCGATCCCTGGTCAGGACACATACAAGAATCAACCAGTGAATACATAAATAAATGGAACAAATTGATGTTTCTCTCTCTCTCTCAAAATCAGTAAATATAAAAAGAAAGAAAAGAAAAAATGTGGGCTCTACTGTGTTCCTCAGGAGTCATTCAGTCTGATCACAACCCTTAGCTGCAGCAGGAAGCCTGATCCATACAGAGAGACACCCATGCTTATGGTCACCTGGGTCTGAGTAGTGAAGGAACACAGGCCTGAGATCCTTGTGTAACAGTAACTGCCACTTACTGAACATGTGAGTTAGTCTGCTTTGTGCTTCATGAGCAATAAAACACATTTAGTCTTACAATCATCCCTATAATCATCCCATAAATTGGTTAGTACTCTCAGATGGGGAATCTGAAAGTAACTTGCCTGGTAACAAGGCATAGTTTTCATTCAAATGGGTTTGATTTCACATAATTAACTATCCTGCTATTAAATCTGCATTTACCCTCTAAATCAGAACAATTTGCTTCCCCCACCTGTTTTTTTTTTGGGGGGTGTCCTCACTAGGAGTAGACTGAACCGTGGCATGTCATAGAACCCCCTGAAATATATTTTCTCTCACTGTGTACACCCCTCCTCCCCATAACTCTATGCTCCCTGTTCCTCTGGTCTTTATTTTCATTAGCCCTGCCATAATAATGTACTTTCTTCTTTACACTCTTCTAGTATAAGGCTGCTCAAAAAATTTCCTCCTTGTTTTCATTTTACTGTATGCTTTAAAACAGGATCTCTAGAATGGTATGTTACTATAGGAATAAATGAATGGCTACTTATAGCAAGTGTGTGAATAAGTCAGGAATCAAAAACAGCTTTGAAAAATTTGGGGAGGTGTGAATTGAAGACACAAGTAAGAGCAATTTGAATCAGGTGGCAATTAGGCCTCTGTAGGTAGGTACCTCTCTTCCCACCACCCCTTCAATTAGGATGATAGGCAGCCCCTCCCATCAGAACCTGAAATAGGTGGGAAAGATAGGGATGAACCTGAACCAACCTGAGCTAGAGAGAGAAGGGGCAGATGAAGATGGAAGGCAGAGCAAGGACACAAACTGTACCAAGAGATTGCACTAAGCCTGACCAGCAGATGGAGCACTTTGTCTGTGTTCCCCAGGGCCTGTACCAGGGAGCACACTTGGTTTTAGGCCAGCCTGAACTCTCTGACCACCAACAGCCCTACTGGAGGCAAAACGCTGGTGCCCCCACTTTCCTGGCCAGGACCGGGCTGGTGGTGCCCACGAATATTTGGGCCTACTGCATGGAACCTTACAAGAGGGAGCGGCTTAAGGCCATTCTCTCCCAGATGAATCCCAGCCTGAGCCTGCGGCTATGCAAGGCCAATACCAAGGAAGTGGGTGTGCAGGTGAGCCTGCGGGTAGACAGATCCCTGCAGTGCTCACTGGGCCCTCTAACCCTGCACAGCTGCTCTCCTTGGGGCCACAGGGTCCCCAAGGCACCACCACCAGCTTGGGACCTCTATTCACCAGTGACGGGCCTCAGGGGTTTGGTCTGGCTGCAGGAGGACAGGAAGGACGAGGAGAGGCAGGAGCTTTTGGGTTTCACTGAGGCCAGGCATCAGCAGCAGAAGTCACTACCAAGGCCAAGGTTGCAAGAGGACAAGCAGGAGGAACTCTGGCAGCAGGACAAGCTGGGGAAGGAAGATGACTTGAGTCCTAGGGAAACACGGAGTAAGCAGGCCCAGAGAGACACCCACCCGCTCAGGAAACCCAACATCCAGGTGAACTTCATCTTCCCCTCCTCAGACTTCTGCTAGTGCCTTCCTCTCTGTCCTCTTCCATTTCTGGGGCAATAAGAGCACAATCTTCCCTTTCTTTCTCCTTTATTTGATGAGATGAAGTTCTGAAAACATGTATTTTATGTGGCCCCCATGTTTTGTAACTTTTTGGTGAAGAAGTCTGTCAGCTTTAAGCATGCAGAAACCAGAAGTCTGGCAATTATATTAACTGGGAATGTAAGACAAAGAAGGGCTTCAAAGTCGGTGAAATGTGTGATAGAATTTTGTTCTAGGGAGACTGTGCTGGTGGCATTGTGGAAATAAAAAATATGTGAGAGAGCAGGGAGAAGAATCCCAGATTAATCCTTCAGAAATGAGACACTAAATTAATGTAGTAACCTTGAGAACAGCTGTGAATGAAGTTAAGGAGGATTTTTGTATCTCCTATAAAAAGCCACAAGCAAATAATGATCTGGCTCCCCCCCCCCCCCCCGAATAACAAAAGACTCTTCCCCTTTTATTTGCAGTTTTTGGAAAGAAAATATGGCTACTTTCATTGTAAAGATTGTAAGACCAGATGGGAGAGTGCTTATGTATGGTGCATTTCTGGAACTAGTAAGGTGAGTAAAAGTGGGACAAAGCGGGAAAGATGTTAAGTGGAGGAAGGATGTGTTTCCTAATTGAGCATGACTTAGTGCTGTCTCATTCATCTCTGCATCCTCCAAGCCAGGCACATAATAGGTACTCAGAAATGAATTGAGCCCTGACTGGTTGTGGGTTGGGCATTGTCCTGCAGACCAAAAAAAAGGTCACTGGTCTGGTTCCCAGTCAGCGTACATGCCTGGGCTGCAGGTCAGGTCCCTGGTGGGAGGCGTGCAAGAGGCAACCAACTGATGTTTCTTTCTCTCTCCCACATTCCCCCTTTCTCTTTAGAAATAAATAAATATAATCTTAAAAAAGAACAGAGAAAATGAATAGAACTGAAATGAACTGGTCAGTTCACATGACCTCCCGAACTGCTGACCCAAGTCTTGGTGTTCTGTTGGGTTTAATAGTTCTGTTGGACAAAATGTCAGCTTATTTAGATGAACTCTTGTTCTTGTGGACATTGGGACTTTCTATAATCATTTTTCAGTTGGTGTATTTTGAACAGGTTTGGGCATTAGCTCCACTGTCAGTCCACAAGGTGGGGCAGCAAGAGGAAGAATTTACTGTAAAGGCTAGCCTATGAGAGACTCTAGGCTAAGCAGGTCCCCCCCTACTTTGATTGATTGTCAGCATATTTACATTGGGAAAGATTTCACAGTCTATGTTTCCAGATGTTCCTGAACAATCAGACTCTGGGCATCATAGATTTCTGTTTCAGTACAAGAACAGTAGGCTGGCACTGAGCAGCTTTTCTCCTCTGGGTACATGCCCTTCGTTTTGTAACAGTCTACACCTGGTCTATCTCATTAATTTCTACAAGCATTTGAGTTGGAGTCCCCTGTGCTATTCTGAAAGAGCTGGAGAGAGAGAGACATACCAAGACCTGAATGGAAACATGGCTTTTCACGCTGGCCACTCACTAGACCTGGAGGCGAATAGATCCTTTACCTAAACAAAAAATGACTTTAATTCTTTGGCTGGAAGAAAAACAGTGGATTTAATTTAAACACTCCAAGATACTAGGATGCAAAGTAGAAGACACAGAACTCATCCTCAAGACGTTTACACTGATAGGAGTGACACAGACAGAATGTGCATTGGTGACAATGCAGAGGTACCTGTGGCATGGATGTGGTACAGAAATAATGCAGGAGGGAATGACCGATCTTGTCAGGGGAAGGCATTGTAACATCCAAGTAGGATTTGAAAGGCTAAATAGGAACTCAAGTAATGTAGGGAGGAAGTGTGCACAAGGAAATACACAAAGCCTAGAAACCACATGAATTGGTGGATAATACAAGAAATTTGAAGTTTAGGTGGGGAAATACTGGGAAGAAAAATAAGAAAGCAGGGGCTAATGGACCAGGGCAAAAGGAAAAGGTCAAGGGTTCAGCCACACGGTGAGTGAAATTGTGATAGCTACTTCCCATTGAAGACTTTTACTATGGTACTTTATGTATGTTATTGGGTAGTTGTCAGAATCATAGGTAAAAATAAGAGCAGGACATTGATTTTACAGGTAAGGAAAATGAGGTTCAAAGAGAAAGAAAAAGTGACTGAGCACTGGAGGAGATGAAGACCTCAGGGTGGAGGCTGAGCAAAAACGAAATACAAGGGAAGGGAATGGATTACTTAAATAAAAAACTGGGAGCTTAGGGTACATGTAAACTTGGATTTAAAAAAGACAAATTTCTCTTTAGGTTTATTTCAAACAACTCTGTCGCAAATGCTACCAGAGTTTTAACCCTTATCGGGTAGAAGCAATCCAGTGTCAGGTAAGCATACAGAACACTCCTCTGGGTCTGTATTGTTTGCATTCTAAAACATGAAGCTTTTGTGGCATAATGTTTGGATTTGATAGAAATGGGTGTTTGTGTAGGACTGTTAGGTTTTCCGTGTGTTTGCATTTTTATAATATTTTAGGAAATAACCATAAATTCTCGGTCTTGAGGGGATGGGAGAAATTTAGTCTTAAGTTGCCTTATGAGGTGTGTTTATGTGTGGGGTTGCATGTTCTTCCTCAAACATCCTTTGTATAATTTGGATGTAATAATTTAGTAGGTAACCTTTATTAAGCTTTTATTATATACCAAGCTTTGGTATTTTTCAGTACTAAAATTTTTATACCTTTTATTAAAAGAAATGACTTCCAGTTCTCTGCTGAAATACCAGTCCCATTTATTTAAACATGTTAAGCATAATTATCTTAAAATTGGTGTCATTGGTGTTAGGTAACTCCATTCCCTATAGTCCTGTTGTTCTCTTTATTTCCCTTGGTTTTCAAGTGTGCTAAACTGTTTCTTCATGTACCTGGTCATTTTTGATTAAGTGCTAGATAATGTATATGAAAAATTTCAGTGATAACTGCGGCCTAGGATAGTATCTTATTCCACAAAAGATTTGTTTGCCTCTGTGGGGGCAGATGGGGGCAGTGACAATATCAGCTTACTATTTTTCAGTTGGGGTTGAGCTATTTGGAAGCCAGACTTTGGCATCTGTGGTGGCTGGTCAAGTTTTGGCTCATTCTTATTCTTAGGGTGTAGCCTTTCAGGGTCCCAACAAAAAAACTTGAATTGTTCACGAGGACTCTTCCATTTTGGCATACTTAAGATTATCCCTCTACTCAACTTGTTTTCAGATTCTTACTGTCTAACCTCTTCCAGAGTTGGCAGATACATTAAGAAAGAAAATAGTCCCCAAAGTTAGGCTCACCTGTTTCTGGATTTCCTTCTCTAATGCTTGGATAATTTTCTAGTGCCTTTAAATAGTTCTGTAAAAAATTATCATTATTTTTTTACCTCACCTTTTCCAATTGTCCCAAGCAGAAGACTTGGTTAAAATGACCTAATTCATCCTTGCCATAAATAGGAACTGACCTTTAGAGTAAGCCCTGATTTTTTTTTATTTTGAGCCTCTTCTTCCTTGAAAGGGTACTGTGAGAATTAAATTAATTAATCTATATAGAGTGCTAGGACAGTGTCTATAGTAAGTACCATGTGAGTATTAGCTAATAGAATTTTCTTGTAAGGGAATTCTTATCAATAGGATACTTATCAATAGGATAGTGAAACATATAAAAGTAGTACAATGTTTGAAAAATCATTTTTAAGACTCTTGTTTGGAAAATGAAAATGCCTATTTTTATAGTATAAAAGGCAAAGCTTGACTTACTCTCTTTGGCTATGGACATATGCAGAAAATAGAGCAGTGATTATCAATTTTAAAGATTAGTAGGGTTGGGAGGGTAGACCAGGGAGGTATACCAATCTCCATAGGATGTAATTTTATTTGTCAGAAGATAGAATGGGATAATGGTTAAAAATACTTTAAATTCTAGTAAAGAGCAGGCATGTCCAGAAAGAAAAATAAATAGATCCTTCTAGAACACCCCTCCCTCCTAGTTGTGACAACCAAAAATATCTCCAGACATTGCCAAATGTTTGCTCGTGGGTAAGATGCCACTGATTGAGAATCACTGCACTGGTGTTTTCAAATGTTTCAATCAAGGTACTCATCACTGGCCTCATTCCCACCTGGCTATAAACATGACCACCTACACAATGAACACACTCTACAAAACTCTAACTTGTAAAAAAATTTCTCTTACATTAGATCTTCTTGATTGGTTCAGTAATATTCTAAAGATCATCTTTGATCATTTATCTTGGGAAATGGCATTCAATGGCATTTAATGGGATATGAGTGGTTTTGTACAACTTGGTCTTGGACTTCTCCTAGGATTCAAAAAAAGATAAAGATTCCAGGGAGGGAATGGTGGAAAAAAGTATTTGGTTTGAGGATTGCATTTCAAACACTAAATTGTTCATGTGTCCAAACTATTCCTTGTTTTCTAAAGATCTGTTCAAAATCCCGTTGTTCCTGTCCTCGAAAGAAAAGACACATTGATCTAAGGAGGCCTCATCGACAGGAACTGTGCGGCCGCTGCAAGGACAAGAGGTTCTCCTGTGGCAATATTTACAGCTTTAAATGCATCATGTGACAGGGCAGTATGATTTGCACAGTTCACTGCAGCTCTTCTTGTCACTTACTGTACTGACCCTTTTTTTTATACCTTAGCTCTGAGCCAGTTTTGGACAATGAATTAGGCTTTTGCACTTTTTATAGGTTGTATAACAATTGTACCATATGAATAGAATGAAATAAATGCATGTAAAGTAGACCATGAAGTCATACTAAGTGGTGACACCAGATAAAAACATCAATATACCATTGGGAAATACAATATACTGTCACTTATATGAAGGGAACAGTGAAGAGGAACAGTGTTCATTTGACAAACTTTTATAAGCTGGGTGTTCTAAGCATTGGGAGTATAGAGACAATGTAGGGACAAGGTTATTGCCCTCAAGTATACATCATAAGGATAGCAAACACTTCAGTAGCATGTAGTAAGTGCCAAACATTGTTGTAATTCGTCACAGAAGCTATAGGAAGTAGGGACTGTTATACCCCTTTATACCAGAGGAGGAGAGGATGGAATCAAGATATGAACCCAGATGGATGAGGAATGTGCCCCTGGGACTTCACTACTACCTTTCTATTTTCTCTCAGTTCAGAATTAGTAAGTTCTACAGAGGAAATGGTGCTATGACAGTGATCCTTCAGGTATGGTGATTGGGAAGAGGCAACATGACAATGGAGACCTGTAGGATGAGGGAGCTGAGAGAAAAGAAGATAGTTTTGATCCAAGGGAACAGAAGCAGCAAAGGCTCTGAGGGAGTGGCACAAGTATTTGGCACATTCCAGGAATAGGAGCCCTGAGGCTACTATAGGCTGTGGACTAGACAAGATGGGGCTCAGGTCACAAAGGGTTCCTTCAGCCATGGCCCAGCATATGGCAGCCCATGAAGAGCTTTCAACATGGCAATCACATGGATTCTTACTTTAGAAACTCACTGCTGTGAGGGAAGACCTGGCAGAATGGAAGGAGGGAGATCAGTTAGGAGGTTAATGAACACAAGAGAAAAATAATGGCAGGTCATTGGTGGTAACCATGGAGATGGAGAGATATGCAGGATTGGAAGTGGGTAATGAAGAAATAAATGCTGACTTATAGATTTCTGCTTTGAGCTATGGGCAGATGAAATGGAGAGAAATAACAGGAGCATGTTCCTGGGTCAGATGACTTAACTTCAAATCATGGCAGTGGTACTTAAGAGATATATGGGCAACTTCTTTTTCTGTGTCAGTTACTGTTCTGTAAGATGGGGACAATAATGGTACCCGTGTCTTGGTGGTGAGATGAGGACTAAAGGAGCTGATACATGTTAAGCACTTAGGATAGAACCTGTAATACTCTGAGGGCTCCGTAAACTTAGCTGTCTTATTTAGGTGGAGCTATGTAATAACGTGGGCAAGGTTTTCTGTTTTTAACATTAAGTTTGAAATATTGAAGACATTCCAGTGGAGATGTCATGTTGGCTTCTGTGTATGGATTTGGAATTTAGGAGGGAAATCAGAGCTAGAGAGAGAGAGATTTGGAAATAAAAAAAATATGTAGTATTTAAAGCCGTGGACCTGGATGGGATCACCTGGAAGGAGAGTACAGCACAGAACTCTGAGCACACCATCATTCAGAGCAATAATCCTATAACTTTAATGTCCCAGGAGTTACCTGGTGGTCCTGTTCACTGGAAAGTCTGATCTAGTAGGCCTGCAGTCTGAGTCTGCAAACCTGACAAGCTCCCAGATGCTTTCATGCTGCTGGTCCCGAAGGTCACACTCTGAGCAGCAAGGTTAGAGGTTAGAACAAAAAGTGATCAAGAGGGATAGGAAGAGGATGGTGCTATGAGGAGGGAGTGGCCAACTGAGTCAAATCCTGTGGTGAGTGGGAAGGATGAAGATAGACATGTTCATTGGATTTGGTGACATAAAGATAACTGGTGGTCTTGAAAAGAGAAGCTTCAGTGAATTGGTGGGGATGGGAGACACAGTTAACAGAGTCAAGACAGTGAACAGAGACTATACTTTCTAGAAGTTCTTTTGTTAAAAAACACATTGGTGATAGTGAGAAAGGCATTTGTGGGAAAGGGAAGTACTGAGTGAGTTCACATATTCATGGGAATAATTCAGCAGACAGGAGCTGACTGAGCAGCAGGGACAGGACACTCAGGAGTGAAGTCCTTGAAAAGGGAGAAAGGATGGGTCCAGAGAGAAGTGGAGTTATTCGGCCTGAATAGGAGCAGTTATAGTCCCTTTATTTTAAAATGATGGAGCACCTAGAACATAGGCTAATTAGATAAAGACAGGCTTTTGGGGATGAAGAGGAGATCATCTGATTTGTTATATTTATTCAGTGGATTATAAAGCAAAGTCATCAGTAGAGGTAGAAAGGAAGAGAAAAGGGTGAGAGGCTGAGGAGGGAGAGCAGGTGTGAAATAATCATCTCAGGTACTAGGGATGTGAAATGATCAGGGAAGCTTAATTGTATTTGAAATTGTAATTGACAACACCGAGAGCTTCTTTTGAGACTTGGCGCTATTTGAGAGGTGCTTTATAAAAAAATTTTTAAAAAGTTAAAAATTTGTTTCTCTCTCTCTCTTTTTTTTTTTATCGTTGTTCAAGTACAGTTGTCTACATTCCACACCTCCCCTCAGGCCACCCATCCCTACCTCCCATCCTTGATCCTACCCCCCTTTGGCTTTGTCCATATGTCCTTTATACATGTTCCTTGAAAACCCCTCCCATTTTACCCCCATTATCCCCTCTCCCCTCCCCTGTGGTTATGATCAGTTTGTTCTTTATTTCCATATCTCTGGTTATTCTTTGTTTGCTCGTTTGTTTTGTTGATTAGGTTCCACTTATAGGTGAGATCATATGGTATTTGTCTTTCACTTCCTGGATTATTTCACTTAGCATAATGTTCCTCATATCCATTCATGCTGTTGCAAAGGGTAGGAGCTCCTTCTTTCTTTCTGCTGAATAGTGTTCCATTGTCAAAATGCCCACACTTCCCAAAGCAATTTATAGATTCAATGCAATCCCTATTAAAGTGCCAATGGCATATTTGACAGATATAGAACAAACATTTCAAAAACTTATGTGGAACCATAAATGACCCCGAATAGCCACAGCAATTTTGAGAAAGAAGAACAAAACAGGAAGGACCACCATACCTGATATCAAACTGTATTACAAGGCCACGGTAATCAAAACAGTCTTGTACTAGCACAAGAACAGACACATAGATCAATGGAACAGGATACAGAGCCCAGAAATAAACCCAAGTCTCTCTGGTCAGTTGATATTTGACAAAGGGGGCAGGAGCATAAAATGGAGCCAAAAGAGCCTTTTCAACAGATGGTGTTGGGAGGTCTGGACAGCTACATGCAAAAAATGAAACTCAACCATCAACTTTACCATACACAAAAATATACTCAATGTGGATAAATGACTTAACTATAAGTCACAAAAACATAGAAGTCCTAGAGGAGAACATAGGCAGGAAAATCTCAGCTATATCACACAGCAATATTTTCACCAATATGTCCCTTAGAGCAAGGAACATAAAGGAAAGTATGAACAAATGAGACTTCATCAAAATAAAAAGCCTCTGCATGGCTAAAGAAAAGATCAGCAAAATGAAAAGGGACTTAACCCTATGGGAAAATATATTTGCAAATGATACCTCAGACAAGGGTTTGATCGTCAAAATATATAAAGAACTCACATGACTCCACTCCAGGAAGACTAACAATCCAATTAAAAAAATGGGCAAAGGACCTGAACAGACACTTCTCCAAGAAAGACGTACAGGGGGCCCATAGACATATGAAAGGATGCTCAGCTTCACTAGCCATCAGAGATGCAAATTAAATTCACAATGAGATACCACTTCACACTAGTCAGAATGACCATCATAAATAAATCAACAAACAAATGTTGGAGAGGTCAGGGAGAAAAGGGAACCCTAGTGCACTGTTGGTGGGAATGCAGACTGGTGCATCCACTGTGGCAAACAGCATGGCATTTCCTCAGAAAACTAAAAATGGAACTGTCTTTTGACCTGGGAATTCCACTGCTGGGAGTATGCCCTAAGAATCCTGAAACACCAATGTGAAAGAACCTATGCACCCCAATGTTCATAGCAGCACAATTTACAATAGCCAAGTGCTGAGACATACTTGATTGCAGTTGTTTTCCTGTTGTGTCTTACTCAAGCAATTGTGGTGCAGGTATGGATGGGATAGATCTCAGGTATAACTATCTGAGTAAGACAGGGGTAAGATGTTTGTGAATGACAGCTAGGGAGTGATTATAATTTATGGAATTTATTTATTTTAGGTTAAATGTTTTTCTTTTTCTCTATGAATTTATGAGGTAACATTAACTAACATTATATAAATTTCAGGTGTACAACTTCATAACATAACATCTGTATGCTCTATTGGGTGCTCATTCTACAAAGTCTAGCTTCCTTCTATCATCATATTTTGACCTCTTTACCCTTTATGTCATTGCCCTACCCCACTTCACCTTGGGTAATTACCATTCTGTTGTTTGTATCAATGAGTTTGTCTTCTTTTTGTTTGTTCATTTTTTATATGCCATGTGCCTATTTGTCTGACTTATTTCACTTAGCATGATACTGTCAAGATCTACCCATGTTGTTGCAAATGGAAATATTTCATATTTTTGTGAGCTGTGTAGTATTATTCCATTGTGTGTGTATAACACATCTTTTTTTTAACCTTTATTGTTGTTCAAGTACATCTGTCTCCATTTCCTCCCCACTACTCCCCCCTACCCCAGCCATCTCCACTTCCCACCCTTGATCCTACCCACCCTACTGGTTTTGTCCATGTGTCCTTTATACATGTTCCTGAAAACCCTTCTCCTTTCCTCCCCCATTATCCCCTCCCATCACCCCTCTGGTTGCTGTCAGTTTGTTTTTAATTTCAATGTCTGTGGTTATATTTTGCTTGCTTGTTTGTTTTGTTGATTAGGTTCCACTTATAGGTGAGATCACATAGTATTTGT